AACACCAGACCAGAAGCGCAACAGATCTACACATTGCCGAGAAAGGATCCCTTCATGTTGGAACCCCTGTTTGATTGGTGACAACCCTTGCGCACAAACTGTCTGCCAGTCCCGAGCAACCATTTTGAATTCCAAGCACGATTGTTTTTGTTCGTGGTGCCTTTCAGAACCTGGAGCCCGCAGATTGTAATTGTAGCTGCAGTTGCTGCGAGCACGTCGAAATCGTTATGTGTCCTTTCAACTGTTGGTGCTTTGGAAGCAGATTGTTGTCGCGGCTCAGCAGTACTGACAGTCACAGACTGGGGTGGTCCTCATCTGATACCAACCCTTCATAAAGCCCTGAAACCTTCCATAAACACAAAGTAAGCAGCAAGACCCAGACAGCAGGCCACAGGATCACAGGGGGGGTGAGGGTCGCTGTTTCAGCTTTCGTTTAAACCGCAAGACCCAGACCACAGGCCAAAGGACCGGGGATCAGTGCAAACATTTAAGTCAGAGCCTTGAAAGGATCCACAATCATTTCTAGATGTTCCAAATTTCAAACTCCCAACCAAAAGGTGGGAGGGGCACAGGGGATTCTACGGGGATAATGCTGATAAAGCCTTTTGTCAGTGTTCATTGAAGTGGCTAAGGATCAGCATCAGGGAAGTAAGTAAAGGACTGTTTGTCAACATCAGCCTCGAAGACTGCTGACCAGGGCTTTATAGGAGGAGGTTTTATGAGCCTCACACCTGAAAGTCCCACGGCTGTCCGCGATGTTTGGATCGCAGCGCATGTTCCTTGCGTTGCCTCTATCGTGTTGTGGAGAAAATGCGACTCACGGTGTGGGCAGGGGTAACAGGGTTATACACTGCCGCTGCTCATCTACAGGCATGTCTGGTTCCAGCAATCAATGTCTCCCAAAATCTGAGCAGAGATTGGAGGAAGCATTGAATGGCACTGATAACATCGCAGATGCCCCAATTGGGCAGAGCTAGCGCTGCAAGCAAAGCCCCAGCAGCTCACATCCTTCTCTTGCCCAGTTCGAATCGCTCTTTGGACTTGGAGGAGATGCCACGTACCTCGCTCTGTAAAAGCGGGCTAACTGTCATGTGATGATGTTTGTTTTGTCCTGGTGTAAACAACACATAGCAGGTAGAGTACAGGGCAGCCATGGCTTTAGGAATTATGTTTGCTTTCGCATGTCTTGGGCTAGTCCTGCTTGCAGCAACCGGTGTAGAGAGTGTCCATAATCCATAGATCCAAAGCGTCCAGTACAGCAGCACAAGAGGGCGCCCAGAATTGACACCGAAAGGTCACAGCTTGCTGCTAACAGCCAGGATGTTTTAGTTCAAAGGGACCCGAGTGTGGTATAGCCTGCATATCCACGTGGGGCGGGGCTTCTGGACTTTGTGCTGAGAACCAAACCCGTTGTGTCTATTATTGCCGGACAAAGAGAGAAGGACCTTCTTGCAGGGGTCCTCCTGAATGGTGCCGCTACAAACCTGGAACATTGAAAACATCCACACAGATCTCATGTCTTTGAAGTTCAAGGCTCAGGGCTGGGTCTTTCATCCGTTGTCGTCAGGCAAACAGAAACCTGGTAAATGGGGATAGTGGATAGTCGAAGCGACCACCCAAATGAGGTACATC